TGGGAGAAGTTACATACCTGGTGGGGCAGGCTACTATTGATCTGATGCAAAGAGGGTTTAGGATCTCCCAAAAATCCTTAAAGGCTTTTCATTCACCAAAATCTGGTGAGTGTATTTAATGTTGGTGTGCACGGGTGATAGGTGGAAGTTTCCTAAAAGCATTTGGAATCCTCCGCTTTCATCACAAGTGGTTTTGGGGTGTTTTTTCCTGAAAACTTTTTGACAGAGATATGCACCAAGGATTATTGGACATTTATGTTTTGTGATTCACTAAATTTGTATGAAGGTCTATTTTGTGCTGTTTCATTTATAAAAATTGCGTAATTAACCTGACCCAGTAGCAATTGCTCTCTGGCTGCGGCACATAGATTGTGGTCCAGTGAGCTGGAAAATCTTTGTGCAGATTGCAGCTGAGTGTGGCATTGTTACGCATGTGACAGCGCAGTTTTAGATTGGCTAGTCCTTCGGTCACAAGTTGGTGAGAAGGGCTGGGGGTCTGACGCCGCACCCGTCAAACCCACATCTCTCCTCTACAGTGTAAAGCATTAGATTTACATGGCTTGGAACCGGAAGTGACGTAATGACGTTGCTCCAGTCCTCCAAAGGCATAGAGATGAGTTGAGGCAATCTTCCCTTCACTGATCTCTATGCCCAGCCAACGGGATCGTTGGGATGGGTTCTCAGATAAGCCTAAGAACCTCCGGGGGGTGGGGCTATTTTTGGCACCTATTTTCATATCAGCCAAGGCCAATAGGGGTATTTTCGGCCAGAACACTTCAGGGCATCCCTATAAAACAATCCGTATAGCGTTACAGCGTGGCAGGACCAATAAAGCAGGTAAAAGATTATGAAGATAGTCCATCAAAGACAGGCAGGCATGTAACACACAGTTCATAGTGGACAAGAGCAAGACTGGAAAGGACTTTGAGGGTCTAACCAGTAGGGTTCTGCAGGCAGGTGGAGCTGAACAAAGACAAACCCCACAGACCAACAGGGCCTGCAAATTAAACAACAGTTTAAAATAAAGTCCACGTGGGACAACTACTGGGGGTTCCATAACAGCTGGCCTACTCTGCAAGAGATTTCCCAGAATTGTAAAGTGAGAACAATGTTAAAATCACCAGGCACTCCGACGTATCCGCCTTGCAAAAGAGCCTGGGGCACAATGTTAAGAAAGCTTGAGAAGATGTTATGTAATTGCAAAAATCCCAGCAGCAAATAGACAAGGGAGGCAATTGGGGTCACTGAAGCGCCTCACTGAGAGCATTCTCCTCCCTATCCAGTCATTGCACAGGCAGGCATAGTTTCTCAAAGAAATGGGCTTCTCCTTTAGCTACCACGCGGAGGTGCACAGGGTACAACATGGCATATTGAAGATCCAGGGCTCATAGACTTTTCACCTCAGAGAATTGTGTTCTTTGTTTCTGATCTTCAGCTGAAAAATCAGGAAATAGGGAGACTTTAGAATTATCGATCACCATGGCAGAGCCTATGGTTCTGGCTTTAGAAAGAACAATGCCTCTATCCTTTATAGTTTAACATCCTGAACAGAAATGGGCGAGGAGTACCCAGTTGCGGGCGTCTTGACGGAACTCTGTAAGCTCTTTCAACTGAAAACATGATGGGGAAAAAGAATCTTTCCCAAATACATTAAGCAGCCATTGTTCAATAAAGTGTACAGGATTTTTGCCCTCCACTTTTTCTGGGATGCCTATTGCCCTGATATTGTTCCTCTATAGCCTGTTCTCGAGATCATCTAGGCAGGCAGCATGTTTAATAGCAGTAGTGTGGGTATAATTCACATCTCGTTTCAATGGCACCCAATCATCTTCTAGAGTACTGAGACAGCCCTTCCGAGCCGCTGTGCGGACTCGTAACTTTTGCAAATTTTAGCAGATAAACATGATTTCCATTTTAATAAATAAATAGTGCAGCGCTAAACCATAAATCTAAAATAAATACAGTTGCAAGAAAAAGTATGTGAACCCCTTGGGATTACGTGGAGTTTTGCATGAATTGGGCATAAAATGTGCTCTGAAAGTCATCTAAGTCACAACAATAGAAGAACACAGTTTACTGAACATAATACTACACAAACATTAGATGTTGCCATGGTTTAATTGCACATAACATGTAAACATTCACAGTGCAGGGAGGAAAAAGTATGTGAGGCCCTAGCTTAATGACTTCTCCCAGAGCTAATTGGAGCCAGGAGTGAGCCAACCTTGACTCCAATCAGTGTGATGATATTGGATGCGTTGCTGACAGCTGTCCTGCCCTTAAAAAACACACACCTGTTTTGGGTTTACTGGTTTCAAGAAGCACTGTCTGATGTGAACCATGCCTCGCAGAAAAGAGCTCTCAGAAGACCTACGATCAAGAATTGTTGACTTGCATGAAGCTGGAAAGGGTTACAAAAGTATCTCCAAAAGCCTTGATGTTCATGTGTCCACGGTAAGACAGACTGTCTACAAATGGAGAAAGTTTAGCACTGTTGCTACTCTCCCTAGGCTTGGTCGTCCTGTAAAAATGACTGCAAGAGCACAGCGCAGAATGCTGCATGAGGAAAAGAAGAATCCCAGAGTGTCAGCTAAAGACCTACAGAAATCTCTGGCACATGCTAACATTTTTGTTGACACATCTACAATAAGGAAAAGATTAAACAAGAATGGAGTACATGGGAGGACACCACGGAGGAAGCCATTGCTGTCCAAAAAGAATATTGCAGCACGTTTGAAGTTTGCAAAAGAGCACCTGGATGTTCCACAGCACTACTGGCAAAATATACTGTGGACAGATGAAACCAAGATTGAGTTGTTTGGGAAGAACACACAACACTATGTGTGGAGAAAAAAAGGCACAGCACACCAACATCAAAACGTCATCCCCACTGTAAAACATGGCGGAGGGAGCATCATGGTTTGGGGCTGCTTTGCTGCCTCAGGGCCTGGACGGATTGTTGTCATTGACGGGAAAATGAATTCCAGAGTTTATCAAGACATTTTGCAGGAAAACGTACGACCATCTGTCCGCCAACTGAAGCTCCGCAGAGGATGGGTGATGCAACAGGACAATGACCCAAAGCATACAAGTAATTCAACAAAACAATGACTGCAACAGCACAGAATACGCCTTCTGGAGTGGCCCAGTCAGAGTCCTGACCTCAACCCGATTGAAATGCTGTGGCATGACCTTAAGAGAGCGATTCAGACCAGACATCCCAAGAATATTGCTACACTGAAACAGTTTTGTGAAGAGGAGTGGTCCAAAATTACTCCAGATCATTGTGCAGCTCTGATCTGCAACTACAGGAAACGTTTGGTTGAGGTTATTGCTGCCAAAGGAGGGTCAACCAAGTATTAAGTCCCAAGGTTCACATACTTTTTCCTCCCTGCACTGTGAATGTTTACATGTTATGTGCAATTAAACCATGGCAACATCTAATGTTTGTGTAGTATTATGTTCAGCAGACTGTGTTCTTCTATTGTTGTGACTTAGATGAAGTTCAGAGCACATTTTATGCCCAATTCATGCAAAACTCCACGTAATCCCAAGGGGTTCACATACTTTTTCTTGCAACTGTGTGTATATGTGTGTGTATATATATATATATATATATATATATATATATATATATATATATATATATATATATATATATATATATATATATATATATATATAAATACAAAATTAATATATATCATATAAAAGTGCAGCCGTGCAAATACAGTATAAATTCAATAAAGTGCAACACGTGTATTCCCCTCAGGAATAATCAAAGTGACCAAGTGATCAAGACTAAATAAAACCTCAATTTAATAAAGTGCAATACGTGTATTCCCTATGGGAATAGTCAAATTGGCCAAGTGATCACAGCAAACAATCTATCACAATACACTCTAATATAAATCTCCACTTATTGTAAACATGTCCATATGTATATAGTGTCCAATACAAAATCTTCATGCAGGTGATATCAAGTGTCCACACTGTGTATATCCAAAAAATAGCTGCAGTGGCCCCTCACCTCCTTACATAGACCCTACAGGGTCAGCTCGCTTTGGGAAAAGACACCACTCAGGTGTGTCACAGGTTCCTCCCCAGCGATGTATACTCTATCAGCAGCTTCCTCTCCGGTTCATGTATAAACAAAAGACTCTCATAGTGTAAAACCGCAATTTATTAAATACACTGTATACAAAAATATCCACTCACATGATTATTCATCTTTTATATGGCTCCTATACCTCATGCTATGCCTGCCTTGCATGGGTATTAGATATAGGGGTTTCAAATATGGCCGCCACGCCGGAAATGACATCACCGCGCTCCTAGAATCTTCCTCACGTACCGACGCGTTGCATCACGCTAATCACGTGACTTCCTCAGGGTAAACGCCCCCAGAGGACTGGACGCATTAAATAGACCATTGGCACCAATCATAGACAGGGGGCGGACCCGAGCGGCCATTTTCCCCGAGTCCGCACTCATATCCACGTTTTTTTGCCAGTAATGCGGTGCCACCATAGCATTACTGTTACCTATACCTATGGTCCCCCAAATAAATGTCTAAAAATAAATATTTAATTACATTAAAACCCCCAAAACAAAACCAAAAACGGGGACATACATGCTATAATCTTTTTACTGGAGCACAATAAGACTGTCTATATACAATCCTATATACCCATTATCCCTAGTGAGTGAAATATATATTTATTTTACCCCATAGTATCCATAAATTAAAACAAATATTATTTTATTATACACATCAAATTAAAATAGACAAAGGATATATTTAATTATTCTGTTAATAATATTCAATAACCATACAATCACCCATAGCACGAGTTTACAATCCTAATTCTTAACATCACTATCAAGCAGATCACAATCTAATATTCAAATACACAATTAACTACCTGCCGACCGCAGATAGCCGAATGACGGCTTCACTGCGGCCGGCCAGTTCTGGGTGGATGTCATATGACGTCCCCCCAGAACGCGCTCTCCTGCGCGCCCCAGGGGGCGCGCACCCGGCGATCTCCGTGATCGCTGTGTCCTACAGACACAGCTGATCACGTTCAGATCGTGAGGAAAGTACTGCCGAGAACCGGCAGTTGTCAGAGCAGGGATCGGCACCGATCATCAGGGCACTGATGATCGGTGCCCAGCAGTGCCACCCGCAAGTTCCGCCCACCTGTGCCCAGCAGTGCCACCCGCAAGTTCCGCCCACCTGTGCCCAGCAGTGCGCCCACTAGCTCCGCCCACCTGTGCCCAGCAGTGCACCCACCTGTGCCCAGCAGTGCACCCACCTGTGCCCAGCAGTGCACCCACCTGTGCCACCTACATGTGCCCAGCAGTGCCACCCACCTGTGCCCACCCACCTGTGCCCACCAGTGCCACTCACCTGTGCCACCCACCTGTGCCCACCCACCACTGCCGCCCACCAGTGCAGCCCAGCAGTGCTGCCAGTCAGTGGTGCCAGTCAGTGCCCAGCAGTGATGCCAGTCAGTGCCGTCTATCAGTACCCATCATCAGTGTCACCTATCAGTGCCGCCTATCAGTGCTGCATATTAGTGCCGCCTATCCGTGACACCTCATTAGTACTGCCTATCAGTGCCCTTTAGTGCTGCCTATCAGTGCCGCCTATCAGTGCCCATCAGTGCTGCCTCATCAATGCACATCAGTGAAGGAGAAAAAATGCCTGTTTGAAAAATTTTATAATAGAAACAAAGAAACTTTTTTTTTTTTTCAAATTTTTTGCACTTTTTTATTTATAGCGCAAAAAGTAAAGCGCCCAGTGGCGATTAAATACCACCAAAAGAAAGCTCTATTTGTGAGAAAAAAATGATCAAAATTTCATATGGGTACAATGTTGCATGACCGCGCAATTGTCAATCAAAGTGCGGCAGCGCTGAAAGCTGAAAATTGGCCTGGTAAGGAAGGGGGTATAAGTGCCTGGTAGGCAAGTGGTTAAATAATAATAATCATATATATATATATATATATATATATATATATATATATATATATATATATATATATATATATAAAAAAAAATAACTAAATCCACTGATGTTAATAAATACATAAAAAACTCATAGCATACTTATACCATCTTAATACTTAAATAATCCACATCCAACAGATCACTATATAATGAAATCTGGTTAAAATAAGTGTTACCATTAAATCATTAAAAAGCCAGATATTACCATATAAAACTACAAATTACTGATAAAACAATTCAAATCAAAATCTACATTAAAGCCTCTTGGTACCTGCGTTTTCATGTAAAAAATCCATTTAGACTCTGATTTGCTAAGGGACCTAACTTTATGGCTCCCTCTCCAATGGCCTCTATACTTCTCTATTCCCCAAAACTTCAACATAGAGGGGTCCTTATTATGATGGGCCAAAAAATGTATAGGCACACTATGTTTCGATGATCCTTTCTTTATTTTTTGTATATGCTCTCGTATTCGCTTCCAGAGGGGTCTCTTTGTTCTCCCCACATACTGGAGACCTCATGAGCATTCCAAACAATACACCACCCCTTCTGTTCTACAAGAAATGAAATCACAGATCTTATACTCACTCCCTGTGACTTTAGACTGAAACAACACTTTTTTCTTATTATTTCCTTTCGTTTCTCTACACGCGTAACAATTTCTGCATGAAAAAAAACCGACCTGATCCAAAAATGTTACCGATTTCTTGTTGAGTGGGTCTATTACATTTTTTTACCACTTTCATCCTAATTGATGGTGCCTTCCTATAAATAAACCTGGGACGTTCCGATAAAATAGTACTTAAAACCGGATCTGCTTTTAAGATAGGCCAGTGTTTTTTAAAAATTTATTTCACCATTTTAAAATGTACATTAAAATCTAATATTATAGCCAACTGGTCATGCTCTTTATTTTCACTGGTTTTATCTCTCAAAAGAGTCCCCCTATCTATATCACCTACTTCTATTCTATTTTTCTCTATAAATTCTTGTATATATCCCTTATTAAGGAATCTCTCCCCGATAAGATTACATTGTTCCAAATACTCCTCCTTTTAGAGTACAATTTCTCTGAAGTCGGACAAATTGTCCCATCGATCAATATTCATCAACCACGGGGGATAATGACAGCTTCCCATAGGTATATACCCATTTCGATCTACCCCTTTAAAAAACGTTTATTGACAATTTTGATATTCAAATCAAGAAAATTGATAGATTCATTACCAATTTCCCACGCAAACGTAATATTCTTTTCATTATTATTCAGAACACCAAGGAATTCCTGTAGGGACTTTATACTTCCCTTCCACACCATAAATACATCATCAATAAAGCATTTATATAGCAATAATTGCTCTTTATACTGTGAATAAATAGTTTCTTCTTTCCAGTGTGCCATGAATAGATTCGCCACACTAGGGGCAAATCTCGCTCCCATGGCAACACCTTTGATTTGCTGGAAGAATTGGTTCGCATGACAAAAATAGTTATGCGATAAACTAAAGTCAAGGCTTTCAATCAAATACTAATTTTGTTTTCAGGGTAACTCACTAAACACTCTGAGGCCCCAACTCGCAGCCTCAATGGCTTCCTCATGTCCTATTATTGTATATAGAGACGCAACATCTGCACTCACCAAATATACATCCGGACCCCCCTGAATATTTTCTAGTTCTTGTATTAGTTGTTTAGTGTCGCATAGATAGGATTTAGTTTTCTTAACCAATGGCTGAAGAAATATATCTATATAATTCCCCAGTCTTGCTAAAATTGATTCAATCCCATTTACTATTGGATGACCCGGGGGATTCACCTGATCTTTATGTAACTTCGGGATCGTATAGATTACGGGAATTCTACAAGACTCAGGAACTAAAAACTCTAGCTTCTTTCTGATCTAAAATCTTCATTTCTTTCCCTTTTTTGACCAAACTGATTAGTTCTTTCTTATACAGAGATGTTGGATCTTTGGGGAGGACTTTATACGTAGATAAATCCATTAACTGCGTATTTAATTCTCTAAGGTAATATTCCTTAGACAAAATCACAATGCCTCCCCCCTTATCTGCAGGCCGGACAACTATATCATCCCTTTTCATGAGCCTCTTAATACCAGTCTGTAAACTATTATTAAAACTTCTATTAAAACATTTTTTCTCTGGAATAACCAGTTTATCCAGATCCTGGTTTACCATTTTCTTAAAAGCTTCTATCTGGCCATTGTTAGATAATTGTGGATTGAAAAGTGATCTGTTACGTAGATTCGAATGTATAACGTTACTACTCGCAACATTATTCATTACATTCTTGGCTCCCGGTAAACTCATAAAGTATTTCTTAATGTTTAATTTCCGAATAAACTTTTGGGTATCTATGTAAACATCAAATTTACTAACAGGTTTAGGTGGGGCATACTTGAGTCCTTTGTCCAGTACCAACATCTCCTCTTTCGTGATGCTGGATCCACTCAAGTTAAATACCCCTTCCCCAATTACTCTTTTTCTTTTGGGCCTTCCGCCCTCCCCTACAGCCCCTCCTCGTGGGGGGCTTCTCCCTCTGTCCATTAATGGGCTCCTGTCCCTTTCTAATAAATCCCTTCCTGGATAGTCATAGCCTAAGGGTTCATACTTGTTGTAAACAGGCATGGGACTCCTATTCTCATATTGATACCATCTATCCTGTGGCTATTGCCTTGGTCTTTCCACATAATATTGCCTCTGTTCTGATCTTCCATAATAATTGGGTGGATTTGGCCCCCAATTATTCTTTGGGGGATAGAATGGTCTATACGGTGGGTGAGGTCCCTTCCAATGATTTCTATTCCCTTTATTCTTAAATGTCTTAAAATGTGGTCCCTTATTGGGCTTCCAGCCATTTCCTGGCGTTTGATAGTTATTACGCATATAATCAGCGGTTTTTGATTCCTATATGGGCCATTTTGTATAGTGATGGGCATCCTAGATGTCTCACTTTTGGTTTCCTTTACCGGAGTGGTATTAACTGATGCAGCTTCCATAAAAAAAGTTTATTTATATATATATATATGGATATGATTATTATTATTTAATTGTGTATTTGAATATTAGATTGTGATCTGCTTGATAGTGATGTTAAGAATTAGGATTGTAAACTCGTGCTATGGGTGATTGTATGGTTATTGAATATTAACAGAATAATTAAATATATCCTTTGTCTATTTTAATTTGGTGTGTATAATAAAAAATATTTGTTTTAATGTATGGATACTATGGGGTAAAATATATATATATATATATTTCACTCACTAGGGATAATGGGTATATAGGATTGTATATAGACAGTCTTATTGTGCTCCAGTAAAAAGATTATAGCATGTATGTCCCCGTTTTTTTGTTTTGTTTTGGGGGTTTTAATGTATATTTACTTTTAGACATTTATTTGGGGGACCATAGGTATAGGTAACAGTAATGCTATGGTGGTGGGCAGGTCCGTTATTGCGATCCGTTTGTTTACCTGCTGATTATGGTTTATAATCACCGCATTACTGGCAAAGAACGTGGATATGAGTGCGGACTCGGGGAAAAATGGCCGCTCGGGTCCGCCCCCTGTCTGATTGGTGCCAGTGATCTATTTAATGCGTCCAGTCCTCTGGGGGCGTTTACCCTGAGGAAGTCACGTGATTAGCGTGATGCAATGCTTCAGTACGCGAGGAGGATTCTGGGAGCGCGGTGATGTCATTTCCGGCGTGGCGGCCATATTTGAAACCCCTATATCTAATACCCATGCAAGGCAGGCATAGCATGAGGTATAGGAGCCATATAAAAGATGAATAATCATGTGAGTGGATATTTTTGTATACAGTGTATTTAATAAATTGCGGTTTTACACTATGAGAGTCTTTTGTTTATAAATGAACCGGAGAGGAAGCTGCTGATAGAGTATACATCGCTGGGGAGGATCCTGTGACACACCTGAGTGGTGTCTTTTTCCAAAGCGAGCTGACCCTGTAGGGTCTATGTAAGGAGGTGAGGGGCCACTGCAGCTATTTTTTGGATATACACAGTGTGGACACTTGATATCACCTGCATGAAGATTTTGTATTGAACACTATATACATATGGACATATTAAATATCCAGCACTATCCTACTTTGATTATAATACCCCACCAAGTCACTTTAACCGTCCTTCCCCTGAAGTACATACATAAATCAATCAATCTTTAAGCATACTTGGTTACAAAAAAACCCCTAAATATTAGTGTATAAAGTCCCAAATAAGAGTCCAAAAATCAAAGTCCAAATAAATCCCAAAAAGAATATGAATAAAAAATATATCTTTGTCAGTACTTTCTCAAATCTTCGTGTCTCCAAACCGCCTTTTTGATATAATCCAAAAAACACATCTTCATATACCTCAAAGAAAAAAACTCAACATAGTGTTTTATCCAAATAATAAAATAAAAGTGCCACACGTGTTACATGCAAAAACACTACCGTGCCACAGCAACCGTGAAACAAAATTCCTCTGCCTTAAATGTTAATCCACTGCACAAAAATA